ACGGTGAAGGAAGACCTCGGCTTCAGCGCAGCGGAAATGGTCTACGGCTCAACAGTGCGCCTCCCGGGAGAATTCTTCTCCGACCAGAGACCTTCCGCCCCAACAGCCTCCGATCACATCTAGAAGCTGCGCGCATGGCTCGCGCAACTCAGGCCAACAGCACCTCGCATCGCCCGCAACAGGAAAGTTTTCACTTTTCCTGACATGGACTCTGCTACCCATGTGTTCGTGCGACACGACGCAACGAAGCCGCCCCTTACTCCGCCGTACGATGGCCTATTCAAAGTTTTGGGACGTACTAACAAAACCATCGCAATCGACGTGCGGGGGAAACGAGAAGTCGTCGCCGTTGACCGCGCCAAGCCTGCTCATATTGAAGTTTCCATTCAAGCAGCCTCTCACGTACGATTTCAGTGCTAACCATTGGACTGTGACCTTTCACTATTCAGCCCGTAACTGCTGTCCTTCTTTAAAAGCTCCGCAATCTAGGGGGGGGGGGAGCCTTTGTAGCGGAAGCTGCTAAGCACCACCGCATTCTTTTCTATCCCGTCTGCAGCCGGCCGTCGACAGCGCGCCTACTCGTGGCGCCAGCTCCTCCTCCTCCGTGTTCGGGGAACAACGTGTTGTCGGGGCCGGCTCCGGGGATTAGACCGGCTGCATGCTACGTCTGCTCGCTCGGTGGCCCCCTTTTCCTCTTTCTTGTAGAAGAACGCGGGGGTGCCTCATTCTCTCCCTCGTCGAGGGGAGCTCTCGTCACTCGCACGGAGTGGAAATAAACAGTCTTGCCCTGCAACTCCAAACCTGCTTCACGTCTCCTTTCTCGCTGCCTCCGGCAGCCGACATTTCCGGCCGCTACACCAGCAACACGAACAGACACAGTGCACACACCTACTGGACACAAAACCGTGCCGCTGACTGCTCGAAAAGTAGAAGATTTATCCCAATAAAACATAACCTTGCGGCCAAGTCTCTCCTTGAAAACTAAACTCATTACAGAAACTGTTGCACCGGTGTCTACCAGAGCCATCGTGGGAACATCGTCAATGAATACATGAACCTTGTTGTGAAGCATGTGAACTAATGGAGGCTTACTTGTGTGCAAAGCGGTACGTCCAGCGACCTCGCCTCCATCGGCCGCGCCGGCTAGTTTCCCGGTGGCGGAGAGGAAAGCCGCGGCCGGGGACGGGGAGATGGGGACCGTCGCTGGCGCGTAGTAGGTGGCGTCAAGCTCCTCACAGAGGCAGGCGAGTCACTGCGGATGTTCGGCCGGTGCCCGTGCTTCAGGGCAGTTGAATCCGAAGGCCAGTAGGCGTAATCGGGCTGTTGGCCTCGCCGTGCAAGCATCGCTGTTCGGTCAGAAAACGTCGTGGGTGGGCGACGTCGCGATGGGCGAAACCGGGCGATATGTCCGCGAACACCGCACTGGTAGCACATGGGGCGTTCCCGAGGCACATTGAATGCTGCGGTGTGGAGAGGATGCTCAGGGAACTGTTGCCACTCGGACACAAACGGAGGTGGTTGGCTGTCGTAGCTATAACTGCTTCGGGGCGCATAAGACGACTCGACGTAAGTAGCCTGTGGTGGCGGAGCCCTCAGCCGTGGACTGCGGGTGGAGTAACTGCGCTCGTCGAAACTCGCAGCATTGATGCTTGGGGATAGTGTATCACACTGCGGGTCTCCAGCTTGCATGGGAACAGAGACATGGCGACGCAGTTCCTCCCGTACAATCTGACGAATGGTGGAGGAAAGGTCGGCAGGTAGAGAATTCTGGCAGACATCGACGGTAACAACATTCGTGACATTGGCCAGACGTCCGAACTTCGATGTGATGTGACGAGTTTTAAAAGCCTCGAAGGTTCGGCAGTGGTTAATCACGTCGGCCACGCATTCCAGGCTCTCCTTGCCAATGAGAAAGTGGTAGACGTCATCGGCGATGCCCTTGAGTATATGGCCCACTTTGTCTTCTTCCATCATGTGGGCATCCACCGACTTGCACAACTTCAGAATCTCTTCAATGTAGGTTCTGCATGTCTCACCGGTGACTTGAGCCCTCTGCGACAACGTCTGCTCGGCACGTTTCTTCTTCGTTGCTGGGTCTGCAAAGCATTTCTTAATTTCCTCCACAAACTGGTCCCAGGTTGTCAATGTGTCTTCATGGTTCTCAAACCATACCAGCGCCGTGAAATCGAGGAAGAGCCCCACGTGAGACAGCTGGCTAGCCGCATTCCAACCGTTCGAACGGCTCAGCCGCTGATAGTGGCTTAGCCATTCGTCCACGTCATCGCCGGGTTTCCCTGTGAAGGTTCGCGGCTCCCTGTAGTGGTTGGGCGACGTCCTTGCGGCTGGTTGCTGGTTGTCTCCGTCCGAGCTCATTTCTTGAGGTAATGGTGCCAAGGATCAAAATGTGGGCCAGTTGGTAATTCATTTTCTTCGTTCAGCGAACTGGGAGCGCAGAGAAAAAAGCGCTCCCCAACACGAGCGCTTCGTTGAGCGCTCGTGTTGTGTGGTTCCTCGCTTCGTCCTTTGTGTTTTTTCTCTGCGCTCCCAGTTCGCTGAACGAAGAAAATGGTGCCAAGCCCGCTAGTCGACGGCTGCAGCGAAGATCGTGTAGCAGTACCGTCGTTAGGGGACGGTGCCTCTCAGGTATCACTTGGTAGTAGCTAGCTTACCCAGCACCTTCCACCACAATTGTGACGATGGAACGCGTTTATTTACAAGATAGGTAATGCAGAGGTGTAGCTCAGCGAAGGATCCACAGCGTCGCTCGCGAGCCAGTCGAGTCTCTTCCTCCTCTTCGTCGAATCTTCGCTAGACCGTTTCAATATATATATATATATATATATATATATATATATATATATATATATATATATATATATATATATATATATATATATATATATATATATATATACATTAGACAGTGAGATATATCCCTGCTCACAAACGTTGCCCCCCCCCTTCAACCATACTTCAAGAGCCCCTGCATGCAACTCACCATGACATAACGTTCTGGAAGTGCAGAAAACGAAAGTCGACAGTGATCAAGAGATCACGAGACCAGCAGAATGGTGCAACGTTTCACGTCAAGGTCTTTTGTTGTCAGCTACGCGGTAGGCACATCGGCTGGTTGCATTCTGTATGTGTTAAAAAGTTGCCGGGGCTGTTGTTGAACGCCCATTTTTCGTGTGCGTCGGGTCGCTGTGCCTATACTGATTTGTCGTTGTACATTACTGAATGGCGTATTGTGTGCATGTACGCGCCCAACAAGGTAGAAGAGCGAGCCCAGTTTTTTTCACTGCGTATAAGACCGGCTCATTTAAAGTAGGCAGCTAATCTCGATGGGTGGTTTCAAGTGCGTCCTGAGCTCACACGATAACACAAGCACCCTCGCACTCAAAAATAAGAGCACTGCCATTCTGACACGAATAGTATAAAGCTGGGAACTGGGGGATGTCGCAGAGTGGGTTTCCAAAGTTCAAATGCTCTAAAGTACTTGCGACTCAAAGGATGTAGCCATGCCAGACTCGATCATATTTACCTATCTGACGATATCCTTTCGGAATATACCAGTTACTTAGTAATTCTGGTTTATTTCTCCGACCATTGGCTAGTTCAATGCTTCATCGGTCGTTCAAAGCGGAAGAACTATACTTCTCCTGGAAATTATGGAAACTGAACCTTCTGCAGGACGAATCTTTGAGTCTGGCAGTTATGGAGGAAATTGTAGAGGGCGTGTGATGTTGAGTCTGGGGCACCCTTTATGATATTGTGTACATGAAGAATGGTATACTAATAAATGAGTCATTTGTGTTGGGAACGTGGAGCGTGCGTCTCGTTATTGCGACCCTGGGGCTTCGGGCTGCGTCCCTGCACCAGCTCTGCTCAAACGAGTCCACTACATGGTGTCAGAAGTAGGATCTCTGAGTCCTGCCTTCCGTCACGGCTAGTAACGATGCTCCCCTTCCCACCGGTACGGTCACCCACCCTCACCCCCATCTCCCCCCCCCCCCCGGTCTTTTTATTCCTGCCTTCGCTCCAACCAGTCTCCGAAGCCCGTCTCCGTTTTCCTTCGGCGATGCAAGCGAGCGGCTTTCCTGCCTACAACAAATCCAAGACTACGCTTTCGCTACCAGCATGCGATGCAGCGCCGGACGAGACGCGGGGACGAGACGCGGGCCCCCTGGCTGCCGTCGTCCTCAGTTCGCTCATGCCCGACGAAGAAAGACGCTTACTAGACGGAAGTCACCCGGCGGCGTTTGCAGCCAGTAAACGACGTGTACGAGAGTTCTCGCTTTCACAAGCGGACGCAACAGTCCGGTGAGGCAGTCGACAGTTTCTTCACGGCCCTGCGAAACATGGTGCGAAAGTGCAATTATCCGTCGCCAGCTGTCGAAGAGCGTCTTGTTCGCGACCGTATCATCGTGGGCTTGCTGGACTCTCGTCTCTCGGACAAACTGAGCCGAACCCCGAGCTTCTCCTTGATCGATGCATTCATGCATAGTTCTTCATAAAACAGAGTGCACTTAACACGGTACAAAAAGAAGTCAGGACAAGCGCTTGTCTCTACCTTTTTTTGTCCCGTGTGGTGTGCGCTTTGTTCTATGAAGAACTGCGAATGACCAACACGCCCAAACCTTCTCCCTTTGGAAGCACTTGTGCAAGCCCACCAACACGAAGACGCGGAGCGCTAGAAGCAACGCCTGACCGTCGCAGCTGAGCAAACACTGTTGGCGTCTCACGTTGACGCGGCTACTTGCCGTTAACCAGCGCAGCATCCAAGTGGACGACATGACAAACAGGTTTGTGGCAAGAAGAGCCATGGTGGCAAGGCGTCGGAAGCTTTGAGAAGCAGCTACAGCGCGCAGTGCCAATTTTGCCGCCACAAGTTTCACCTATGGTAGGACTGCCCAGCTGCCAAAACAATTTGTAGTCACTGCAAGAAGCAAGGCTACTTCAGGTTGGTGTGTCGCTTGAAGAAGCGTTTCGGATTTGTGAAGCTACACGCCATCGCGGTGGTGGCTCAGAACAGACTCTACGTTGAAGGGTACGTCAACGGGCACCCTCTTGTCTTCAAAGTGGACTCCAGCACCGACGTCTTGGTGGTGTCGCGTACGTTTCCTGGCTGTCCAGCCGTACTCGACAAGCCGCGTGGTGAAGAACTTTCTTGGCCCGGCGAGCAAGCTCTGAAGCTTCTTGGTACCTTCTCCGCAGCTCTGTCTTGGCGGGGCAGGCAAATTAACGAACGGCTGTACGTCGCCTAAGGTCAAGAGCAACCGCTTCTCGGCTATCCCGCCATCGCTGCCCTTGGCGCAGTCAAGTTTGTCGGCACTGTCACGCCAGCCCGGCCAGAAACGCGATCTGCAGACATCCCTCCAGCCCTTTTTTTCATCGACCTATCCCTCCCACTTTTGCGGTACTACTCGACGACTTACGGGCTCACCAGGCTGCAGATTCGGAGTGCGCTCAGCTTAAGAAAACCTATAGCAGCACTATAGCAGTGCGCTAGCGGTCCGTCACACGGCTTTTTTTTTCACATTTTGCGGGCTTTCTTTACAACGCGGAAAAAATAACAGCGCGGCACGTATCGTACAGGAAACAATTTAGTCGGTGGTTTATAAAAGTGCTCTACAACTCAGAGTTAATATTTTGGGTTTACAGCCCATAATTTTAAATATAGGTAATTAAGAATTATTTTTTATTCAGTACGGGGAGAAGTAAAAAAAATAGCCTGAGTACCTACAGGCTAGCGCGAGTAGTACGAGTTTCGTTCTATTCGCCACTGAAGTGTCTTTTATTTTCAAATCCATGGCTCAAGTTACGTGGGACACCCTGTATAATTCGTGGTACAACTGCATTGCTCTTGTGTGCTTGATATGGAATACTTGCGCGTTTTAAATATTTGCATCGCGTTAACATTAAACAAGCGCAACTATGCTTCGACGATTGCCTGTGTGAATGAAAACAGTGATACGCATGAAATACGTTTTCCAGCGCAATAAAGATTCTCTTTTTTATAGAGGGGCAATGATTATTTATAGGGGTTTACATGTCATAACTACGATTTGATTACGAGGGGCACCATAGGGGAAGGCACTTGTCTAAATTCGACTTCTGGGGCTGTTTAACATGCGCCTACACCTAAGCACTTCGAAGTTCCTTGCATTTCTTCCCAACAAGGAAATAGTTTGATGGTGGCATAGAACGCTGGCTAACGTTTTTCTCAAATAGTTTTTTTTTGCATCGTGCAATGCCGTGAACAAACAAAAATGCTAGTGCGCGTGAGCGGAACTATCTGTGTTGACGACGGTCATACCCTTGTCGCGAAGGCAATGTCTCGCGGAAAGCTTTTTCTTTTTCAGCTACAGCTGGAGTTCCTTCCTTGCCAGATGCTCTCGTTAGAGGCGCTATTTACCGACTTGTCTCGAGGAGGGTGCTTCGACGAATAATGGGAGTCTGAGCAGAAAAAGTTGCATCCGGTCGATCACTGTGCGCGTTGCTCCCCAAACAAGGCACTGCTCCGTCCTCCCAGGTGGGGGGGGGGGGGGGGGGCGCTGCGAGCGCTCGATGGTGACGGAGTACTCAACATCGCCTCCGTAGATTTTCTGCTATTTCTGCGGACATCCACCTTGGTACCCCTGAAACTTGGATTTATCGTCACCGCCAAGTTCTCCGCTTCGCCTAGACAACACCTTCGTCCAGGTGGGTCCAGTTTTGACAACTTGAGGGACGTCCTTCACTCCCGGCTACAACGCCGCCTCGCTAAGGGCTCTCAGCCCGGCGATGGCGGCCGCTAACGTGGTTACGGGCTATGATCCTACCTCAAGCCAAATGCTGTCCATGGAGATTTCATCCTCCGAAAACACTATGCCATCAGAAGATGAATACCTCGACGACATGGTGAAACTGTGGCAACGCAAGCAAGCGAGATCGAAGTCTGCGTCTCAACAACAACGAGACGCCACGGCAGGCCACCATTCCCCAGCCTTGCAAGGAACGCCGGCGCGCCATCCCTCCGGCGGTGTGCCTACCTCTGCTCCGTCCTCGCAGCCAGCGAAACAACGCAAGTGGCGTCCGCGTCAAACTCCTCGCCTCTCTCGCGACGACTACATCGTAGTACTCAAACCTCGCGTTCCCTGCGAGCTACGCACATTTGTCCCGGCCGATCGCGCGGGCGACGCCATCCGCAGCTACCTCGGCGAGCGGACTACCACGCAAATTCAAGTGTGGCCAATCTGCGAACAGAACATCTTGGTCTGTAGCACCACCATTTTGCCTATGGCACGGCGACTCCTCGGGGATTTTCAGCTGCAAGTGGGGGATCAGCAGCTGCCCGTTCGAGGCCACGCCAAGGCACCAGGGGATACATGCAAGGGCGTCATCAATGTAAACCCTGCTGAAAGCCCGGAAAAGATAAAGTCTGAACTGTATTGGCCTCAAGGTACTATCCTTGCGGTCCGCAAACTCGGAGATTCCGCGGCGGCGGTGGTGACTTTCGAGGGCACCAAGTTACCCCGCTTCCTATTCTACCACTGCGTGGCGACGTATATCCGCGCCTACAAGAAAACGGTCCCTGTATGCACCAAGTGCGGTACCATCGGTCATCGACCACCTCAGTGCCCTCACGCCGCTCCAACCCAGTGTGCCAAATGTGGAACCCCCGCACCTGCAGGTCTCAATGCCCACGACTGCCACCCCAAGTGCCTCCTCTGCCACGGCGCCCATGAGACTGGGACCAGTGGCTGCACGGCAAAATACCGAAAATATCGGAAACGCAAGCAGCCCTCAACATCTCCTCGAGGGAGCACCTCATGTTCGTCACAGCCAGACAGCAGCACAAACCTGCATCATTCGGCTCCACCACTCCACGCCGACTCTCAAGCATTCCCACTGCTCGAAGCACCAGCGGCGGTACCTCAGGTGAGCAGTTGGGCAGGGAAAGCTGCTTCTAAGCCTCTCTCACCCCCTTCTGTCGATCCTCCTTCTCCCGAACTTGCGGCCCTTCGCCAGCAAGTTGCGGCACTTCAAAAGCAAAATTCTCTTTTAACTAAACAACTCGAACTCTTAAATAAGCGACTTCAACCCCAACAACAGTGTACTGCAAGGCCATCCGGTATTGCCTCCTCTGTCCAGGCGGCTACGCCAGCTACGTCCAAGCTTAGTCCTCGCGCTAAGTCCACTCCCATTAAACCGCCGGTTCAAGCAGCCATGTGTACTCCAGCACTCGGAACCGGTGCCACATCTACTCCAGAAGCTCTTGAGGCTCCTGGGGCACCTCAGGTTCTCTTGCCCACTAACCAAACTCTCCCTAGCAAAGAGCACACCCCGCGCGTAGAGGAACGCCTCACGCGCGTCGAAACTTCGATTAATCACCTCCTCACCAGCTTCTCGGTCCAACGCATAGTAGTAGAGGTTACCCAGGCTATTCAAGCCTGGGCAATCACCCAGTTTCAACCCAAGGCATCGCGTTCCCGCTCCTGCTCGGTGAGCAGTGAGGGTACAGCTCCACGGCGTCGTCGTAAGGTGGCTACCGCCACACCGCCGTCGGACAATCTGGCCTCCGTGCCCCTCCCTGCCTGTGAGGATTCCGAGCGGGACATGGAGGACCAAATATAAAACCTAGGACAGTCACGATGGCTACCAATCGTACGTCCCGTTCAAACATTGCGTCTAAATTCGAGATCATACAGTGGAACCCTCGAGACTTCGGGAACAGGCGAAAGCGTTCACATCTTTCCCTTTTCCTCAGCTCACTTGGCTCTCAGCCGGCCGTCTTGGCGCTCCAAGAATCTGGCCCTGCTCCATCCCTTTCTGGATACTGCTCATATGTAGGCGGCACCACCACATGCCTCCTCGTACATAAAGCTTACACGGCGATACAGATCAACCTCGATCTGGATCTTCCTTACGACTACTGCATGATATCAGTGCTGTCTCAGCGGAGGGGCCAACCATCAATACATATCTTAAACGTGTACTGTCCCCCTCGCCTTTCGAGGGCTTCGTTTGCGCATCTCTTCCATCGGGCACTGCGTATAGCGACCCGACAACCACTGGTGCTTGTAGGGGACTTTAATGCCCCCAGCCCTCACTGGGGTTACCACTACGAGAAGGCGCGGGGCAGAGAGCTCAAGGAGCTCATTTCCTCGCTGAGCCTGACGCTTCTTACCGATCCGGCACAACCCACACGTTCCGGCAACTCGGTCACGCGAGACACATGCCCCGACCTCTCCCTCACCCGTCACATCCGCGATGCTACATGGGAAAATTTAGGCGAAAACCTAGGCAGCGATCACTTTTTACTCCGCATTTCGTTCACACCGCGGCAGAAAATGCGCCAACACTGGGGCCAAGCCCGTCTCACCGATTGGACTCAGTTCAGAATGCAACCATTCCCCGCCGGCCTCTCCTCGACCGAATATGCAGCGTCGGCATCATACGCTCTTCATATGAAACAAGCGAACACTCGCACCCTTGCAACCTCTAATTTGACTCCTGCAATCGATCCACACCTCCTACATCTTTGGCACGCTCGCCGCGGGCTCATAAGGCGCTGGAAACGCAACAAACTTAATCGGAAACTTCGCGCTCGCATTGAGGCGCTCACTGCAGAGGCGGCCGCATACTCCGCACAACTTTCCGATGCTAACTGGGCAGACACCTGTTCGAAGGCTGCAAACCAGATGAGCTCTAAGAGTGCGTGGCGACTCTTTAGAAGCCTTCTCGATCCCTCCACCACCAGGGGAGAAACGCAACGCCAGCTCCACCGTGTTCTGCATGCATTTCAGGGCACTACGGATGAACTCGCGCGAGAACTTTGTGACCGCTACATCTGCCGCACAATTGATCCCGCAGGCCCAGCACATACGTATTCTGGCGCCCCTAACACCGACCTCGACGCCCCATACACGCTTTCTGATTTACGATTTGCACTCACGAAAATGCGACGGGGCACGACCCCTGGACGCGACGGAATCACAGTATCGCTCCTGGCAAATCTTCCCGACCAAGCACAGCTCTCGCTACTCCAGCTTATAAATTCGATATGGGACGGTTCTCCGCTTCCAACGGAATGGGCCACATCGGTCGTGACATTCATTCCCAAATCGGCAAAGTCCGTTAGTATTGAGGCACTGAGACCTATCTCACTTACGTCTTGCGCAGGCAAACTCATGGAAACCATGGTTCGCGAACGCCTTTCCGCCTACTTGGAGGCCAGGAGCACCTTTGCCGACACGATGTTTGGCTTTCGCCCGCATCTGTCGGCGCAGGACGTCCTGCTCCAGCTTCAACACGATATCATAGAGCCGACTACTATGCGCCATAACGAT